GAGGACAGTGGGAGGGGAGTGAGGGCCGAGTTATGGGGGGGAAAAAAAAGAGGAACAAATGTAATCTGAACAATAAAGATTTAATAAAAAATAAATAAATAAATAAATAAATAATAAAATGTAAACAATATAGTAAAATTAGCTGAGCATTCAGTGTTCCTCTTGAATTTATAACATATAAGTCAAACATAGTAGTATGTTTTTCTAAAATACCCTCTTTCTTCATTACCTAGAGGCATACCTGACATTTCCAACTAGTTAAAAAGTGAAAGGGGAACAAACTGGAGAAAACTATAGAGGAAAGAAAGATTATGTTGAAAGAATCTCCTTTTGCTTGAATTCATGTTTCTACATGGATGAGGGGAACAAACTGGAGAAAACTATAGAGGAAAGAAAGACTATGCTGAAGAAAGAATCTCCTTTTGCTTGAATTCATGTTTCTACGTGGATGGACAATAATCATAGAGTAACACTTTTAAGCCTCTCTTGGTTTACTCCCTCACACCTCCCCAAGAGAAAAAGAGTAAATTTACCTGATTGGTCAGTTTGGAGAGAGGAATTGAGCATGCATAGCTCAGCCTCTTTCCCCTTTGGGATCAGTCCACTGCTCAGAACATATGTTCTTTGTCAGCTCTGAGTCATACAAGCTGAATGGTAAAAGCTATGTTGTTGTAGAGGGAAGTCTGTGGTACCACCAGTAACTAGTGAGTGAGCCTGTTTAACTGACATTCAAGTTACAAATCTGATTGTTGCTACATACTTCAGCCACTTTCACCAACATCTCTCTATTCTTAATATAATAAAGAGCTAATATGCTAATTAGACCAGAAGGCAGAACGACCTTCCAGAATGACCTTCTGGAACAACCAGTGGGCAGGGCTGCGGGGCCATGGGGCCGCAGGGCCACAAGGCAGCCGGGGCTGCGAGGGCTGAGCCTCTTGCACAAATTTTGTGCATCGGGCCTCTAGTTCTTAATAAAGCTGACATGTTGATCTCTATCTGCCTGGCTTCTTGGTTCTGAACTCAAGCAGGGACAAAAGTGTATTATTTGTTGCCCCTCCTCTCCCACACACACACTAACTGATCTGACCACCTAAGAAGTGTTCCAAGTGAGAGAATTGCTTCAAAACTAATTTAAGTTGTTTTTTGTTATATGTAGGTCTCTTCTTCACTCTATAAACTATACCTCCTGATCTTACAAACCTAATGCCATCATGAGTCTATATCATGAACCAGGCTCCAGATCACGATATTTCTGATATAATTGGTCAGTTGAAATACATCACTTCCTAGAGTTAAAAACCTACCTTTAGCCCATCATCCACATCCTTCACATAGCCTTTTTCATAGAGTTCTTGGGGAACATTTAAGATACGTTTTGAAAAATCATTTTCTTGCCAGTCCACATGAAGACCTGCAATAACAACAGTGACTTAATGTAGCTATAAGAGCTTCTGTTCTTGTTAATTTTCTGTTATACCTTCTTTAAAATGATCTCACATTGGGGGTAGATGGGAGATAGAAGGATGCCAAAAAATCCTGATCAGTCCTTGAGTTAACGGTATTTACCTATAGCAGGACCTGGCAACTTGGGTTTCCAGTGTAAGCAGGATCTTACACTGGAAAAATCCAGGAGAGCTAACAGGAAGCAACGTATAAAAATACAAGGACATACAAGGAAAAAGAAAGAAAAAAAAGCATGTCAGGCTTCTCACAGCAATGCAGCAGGCAAAATACCTTCGATTTGTGTGTTCAGGCCTGCTCCAGGGCCAGAGGTCTGGGAAATAATTCAATCTTTATGAGCCCTTAGAAATGGAAATGGCAGTTTTATTGGCCTCAGCAGAGTCATGATTCCATGCTCCCTGAATGTCCCTGTACTTAGCCACAAGGGGAATGCTATAGCTTCTCCATTCAAACAAGAACAAATTCAACTTTTTATTTTAAACTGTTTGACCCAGCAGGTCTGGAGAGGATATTGCAATCCCCTGGAAAGCTAGAGTAACAAGAATTCAAATCTGTTCAGCCTCAAGACAATGGTCACTCCCATTTGGAAGAGATTTTAGTGTATATCTGCCCCCTGTGCTTGAGTACTAAAAAAGAGGAAGTTCATATTATTATCAGCTATTATAATTCACACTAGAGGCCCAGAGCATGAAAATTCACTCAGCCCGACCTGCCCCCTCTCACAGTCCGGGAGCCCTCAGGGGCGGGAGGCAACCCGGCCATCAGGGGAAGGCGACGCCCCCATCCCCCCTCTGCTGCTGCCCCCGCCAGCAGCGCAAGCCTCAACCAGCCCTGGTTACCTGAGCCTCAGGCAGCCCTGGGCGGCTGGGCAGCCAACATCCAAGGCTTGCCTGCGCCTCGGGCTGGTCCTGGGCGGCTGAGGGCGGGTCTGGCCGCACTGTGTGCCTGCCGCCCCCTCCCCCACATCCCCCACCTCCAGGCTGGGCTGAAAGGACTTTGGGATTCTGGCGGCAGGAGCAAGGAGCAGCCGGCCGCACTGCGGGCCTGCCACCCCCCGGTGGGGCTGAAAGAACTGGGGGACTCTGGCGGGGCTGAGGGGACTGGGCACCGCCATCTTGTGGCTATGGGCGCCACCATCTTTGGGATGGTGTGATGATCAATTTGCATATTCCATCTTTATTAGATAGGATGGCACTCTTTGAGGAATTTGTCAAGAATAAATCCTTTTTAGCCCCAGCTGGTTTGGCTCAGTGGATAGAGCATCAGCCTATGGACTGAAGGGTCCCAGGTTCAATTGTGGTCAAGGGCACATGCCAGGGTTGCGGGCTCAATCCCCAATAGGGGGTGTGCAGGAGGCAGCCAATCAATGATTCTCTCTCATCATTGATGTTTCTATCTCTCTCTCCCTCTCCCTTCCTCTCTGAAATCAATAAAAAAATATTTTTTAAAAAATGGTTAAAATTCTATGTGGTGTGTAGTAAAAAAGAATAAATCATTTTAGAAAAATTTTATCCTTCTACATGCCTGGAAGAAAAGTTGACTATTGACCTCATTTTCTATATCAAAGGCAACTGAGGGGTTAAATGGTATTAAACAGGAAAAGCAAATCATCAATACATTGTGGGCTGACATAAAAAACAAAACAAAAAAAAACCTACTGGCAGGCAAATATTTGAGAGGTGGGTTTGAGTGTTCTTAGTGATCCAGGTCACTTCCCAGGCCAGTTCAAAGGCCTAATTCTGCCTACAAAGTCCATCTCTGAGAAATATTCTAGCCTACCCAGAGATTATCTGAATCCACAGGACCATGAGTTTTCCCAGAGTTTCTCCAAATTAAATCCCAAGATCGCTCAAATACTAGTTTAGCATCTAGTATACCTGGTACAAAATTTATATTCCTAAGACATGATAAAATCACAGGTGTATTAATTAAGCGTGGAGATACAAGATACCATTATCAACCTGGATTCTATTTATCAAGTATCCCAACATTTCAAATAAACTTAAGCCCCAAGCCACAGTCCCAAATATCCTACTGAGTGAGCTTTTTTGCACTTCAAGACACAAACAAGAAAGTTTCTTACCACTGCCACTCCAGGGAAGAGTTGGGATACCTGCAGTTTGTGCCACTATGGAAGATGCAATCTTATCCCCCAAAGCCCACATGGCCTGGCTTGGAGGACCTAAAAAATAAAACAAGAAAAGAGCTTGACTATAACATTTTGGCCTCATTTCTATCACATATATGTCTTCTATATAATTATTTTTGTATTTTTCTTGTCTCCCCTACATATCATGGAGATCATAAACTTGATTAAGGGGATTACTATGTTTTAACTCATCTTTGTACACTTTATAGATCTTGATGTAGTAAGCTTTTAATACACAATGAGAGCTCTGTATACTAAATTCCTGACCAATCTAACTCTCATTTTATTATCCTTTATGATTCAACTTTATCAGATTAATAAAGTCTTTTTTTAACCAATATCCTACATTAAGTTTTGGTGTTCAAGTCTGAAATATATATATTATCCCTTCCTTGGTCTTAGGATAACCAAAAAAGGAATATTTAACTTTAATAGGGTTTACAAAGCATAGTCATCATTGTGGAATGTCTCTGAGACAGAGAAAGAAATACTTTGAGCCATATAACCTCTATTTCTCTCTCTGCCATAGGAGAGCAGAAAAGACAGAAGACAGAGCTCTCAGGAATATATATATATATATAAAACCCTACTATGCAAATAGACCAAATGGCAGAATAACCAAACAACCGGTTGCTATGAGGTGCGCTGACCACCAGGGGGCACGCACAGAACATAGCAGGCGTCGGCTGTGGCGGGATGGTGGAGATGAGCGGGGGTGCCAGACCAAGGTGGGGTGCCGGTCGCTGTCATCGGGGCAAGCCTCTGGTGGTTACTGAAAATTCTTTGCTCCTGCACGCTACAGTCCCATCCGACGCTTGAACCCACTGCTGGTGCCGGAGCCTACCACTCACACCCACTGCCAGCGCCTGGCGCTGGCCCCGATCACTTGGCGCCCTCAGTGGGTACGAGCAGTGGCTGCCTGATCACCTCCCCCTGCTCCTGAGGGACAATTGGGGCCAGCAGCCACCTCTCCCACCTGCTGCTGGTGACAGCCCCGCTTATACCTGCAGCCGGTGCCGGAGCCGCAGCTTGCACCAGCTACTGGCACCAGCCCCACTTGCACCTGCTGCTGGTGCCAGCCCCAATCACTCTGTGCCGTTAGCGGATGGGAGCAGGCTGGCGCCATCAGCGTGTGGGAGTGGTAGTGGCGGGAGCAAGGCTGCCGGCAGACAGGGGACTGGGGGCTGCAGCAGGAGGTGCCAGGCGGGGGGCGGGAAGGATGGGCCAAGACCCGCCCCTATGTCCACCACAGCCTTGTGGCCCACAGTTCCTTTCAAGGTGCACTGGGCCCCTTGAATCTATATGCTTAAATGTGAAGGGGCTGATTCATATTTAAGGGTACACTGCTAGGGTATCCTTAAGTATTCAATTATCTTTGCTATATAAAAATATGTTTTCCATATCTTTTCTTAGGTTAATGGCAACATTCTTAAAACCAGGGTTTTGGAAATCAGAGCCTCCTCCACATCTCATGGAAAAGAACCTAGGGACAGAAAACAAACCAAGATGCGGAGACATAAGCAGGGTATAAGAAGCGAGGAAGGGAAAACAAAATAATAAAGAGGTTACTCTGAGAGTTGCTGACTGATGAAAAATAAGAGAATGCTGAACAGAAAAGCAGAATATAGAGTAGAATATGGGCAAACTGACAGCGAGGAACAGAAAGACAGAAACAGTATGTCAGAAAGACTTACCCATGAAGGCGATGCCATTTTTCAAAAGAAGTTCTGGGAGCTTGGGATTCTCAGAAGCATGACCCCAGCCAGCCCATACTGCCTACAAGGGAATACGATATGGTTCATTCTTAAAATTCATATTTAAAAGAAAGAAAAACATGATAATTGTATTATTCTCTACTAAGATTGGGCCCTACTCCATGAGGTACAATATCTCCACAGCAGTCTAATACTTAATTCAGCTTCTATGCTTAATTCTTGGCAAACTTCTTACAGAAAAATAAGCAGTCCATTGTGGTAAAACCTCTGAATAAGTCAAATCTAAGTTGAAATTGATATTAAGATCCAGCTAGTCTTGTTGCTCTTTAGGAAATTCAATTCAAAGCCTTTCAACTAGACTCTATAGAGGCTTTTCTAGACTCTATAGAAATATTAGTTCTCCTTCACAGATTCAATTACTTTGGCCACACAACTCAACCTTTATATCTAGTGGTTATAATGCCCTATAAATCATGAGCTTTTTTTTCTTTTGGGGCTTTAAAACACTTACCCTAAACTTCTTCATACAAGTGATAGGGAAGGAATGAGCTACTTCTACACCATCATATTCTGAGCTAAGAATATTTCAGTGGAAATACAGCATCATATTCTGGGGTAAGAATATTCCATTGGAAATGGTTTGAACATGAAATGGATAGAATAAATAATCTCTGGGGCCGGGGGAGGAAGCCCTTACAAACCTCCTGTTTGTAGTCTGTTTACTTAGACTAAGTGCATCTTTCCATCTTTCCTTTCCTTGTTGGTTATATTTCACATGAAGGCACTTATAAATTTTCAACAAAGATGCGTTCTATAAAATTAAAAGTTCTTTTTCGGACATTCCTTTGTGCCTAACTGTAAAATCACTAAATCTGTTGTTATTGTTTTCTGTGACCACTTACAGATTTTGTGTTTATCAAAACAGTGAAACATCGTAAACCATAATATGCAATAGTTTTCTTTGGCAATTGTAAATATTAGTTCATATTTGAACTACAGTGCTGAATCTGAATAATATCTTTAAAGTGGAAACATTTTTCCCTTTTTTTCAACTTAAAAAAAATTTCAAATACAACTGACATACAATATTGTTTAGTTTCAGATGATTATATATTTATATAACTTCTGAAGTGATCACCTTGTAAATCTAGTACCTACTTGACAACATAATTATTACAATATTATTGAATATTGACTATATTCCCCATTGCTGTACTTTACATCCCCATGACTGTTTTTATAATTGGCAATTTGTACGTCTTAATCCCTTCTTTTTCACCAATGTGCCAACCCCCATCCCATCTGGCAATCATCAAAATGTTCTCTGTATTTGTGAGTTTGTTTCAGTTTTATTTGGTAATTATCTTTCTCTGTCTTACTTATTTACTTAGCATAATGCCCTCTTATTCTATCTATGTTGTCACAAATTGCAAGATTTCACTCTTTTTATGGCTGAGTAATATTCCATTGTATACATGCACCACTTCTTTATCCATTCGTCTATTGATGGACAATTAGGTTGCTTCCATATCTTGACTATTGTAAATAATGCTGCAATGAACACATAAATTTGGCTTTAAAGGATACATTGGCATCTCTTACTTGAACTGGGATCCTTTTAGCAATATCAAGAATTAATTCAACATTTGCATAGTTGTTGTTGTTTGGTCCCCCAGGCACTGGTACATAGTGATCTGCCATCTTAATGTACTCTGAAAATGTAAGCAAATTAATAGAGAATACATGCTTTAGTTTCTGAAATATTACACAGAGCAAGACAATGTAAAGGACCATCATAAGTAACCATAGAACAAACTGCATTAATGGGGTAATTTCCAGGACCATTTATTTGAAGGCTCTGACTTTATTAAGTCACTAATATGCACTAATCTCATATTTAGGAAGCTCTTACACTAAAACAGCAGTTCTCAAACATTTCACTTTGTGACCTTTCTGGAAAGGTCTTCATGACCCCTATATCAAAAATAATGTGTCTGTGACTTAGAGGCCCATGTATAATTATTCTATTATGGGAAAAAGTCCTAGTCTTAACACCCTTTATCTTTACCTTGTACTATATTCTGAGAAAGCCCTTTTCTTGATGTAGAGCTAAGACAGAATGGGGACAGAGGAGAGTCTGGAGGGTTTGTAGACTGGCTAAACAGGAAAGGGTAGATACAGAAGTCTCCTAGGTGTTTAAAAAGGGTTTATCTGGAATGTTAGCAATAATAGATATTTGAAAGACACTTTAAAAAGAAACTTCTTTACCTCACATTACTTGTTTTGCTCAGTATTCCCATTTAAATTTGTCACCTGATGTCTCTTTCTTCCTATTCTGGCAACAACTATAGCAGAGAAGCTACAATGTGTAGGACTGCACTAATAAGCACTTTACATATATATTTCATTTAAGTCAACATATGATAGGTAATATAACACCCAGTTTATAGGAAATTATGGTCTGGAGTAGTTAAATAACTTGCTCAAGGTCCATTTCCAACATATATATTAACTTTTCTTATATCTTGTTCTTAACTTTTAAAGGCTTTAAGTCCTTTTAAAAAAAATTCTTACCCAGCCAGTGTGGCTAAATGGTTGAGTGTCAACCCATGAACTAGGAGGTCACAGTTTGATTCCAAGTCAGGGCACATGCCCAGGTTGTGGGCTCAATCCCCAGTAGGGGGCATGCAGGAGGCAGCCAGTCAATGATCTTCTCCCATAATTGCCGTTTCCATCTCTCTCTCCCTCTCTGAAATCAATAAAAATATATTTTAAAAAATACTAATTCCTTAATTTAATACCACTGATATTATAATCCTTTCTAGAGTTCTATTTCTTAAATAACTTTTAAAGAAAGCAAAAAATTATATAAACTCTTCGTAAAAAAAGGTTGGAAAAAGCAGGAACATAAATAGAAATAAAAACACCCCAAAATTTCACTCCCACAGATAACTAGTATTATTGTTTTGGTATTATATCTTTTTTTTTTTTTACTATACACAATGTACTTTTTTCCTATTATTATATCACACTATCAATCTCCTTATGGCCAATGTTCTTCTTGGAAATTGTGATGAATAGACACTTAAGTGTCTGCCGCTATGATCCCAGTCTCCAGGTATTCATGTTTTAAGTAATCCACTCTCCTTGGGTGTGACTTGCTTCTGGCCAAGAAAATATGGTAAATATGAGGTGTCATTTCCACGATAATATTACATATGAATGTAACCAAATGTAATACTCTCCCTTGCTGGCTTTGAGGTAGAAGCCACGTGACAAGGAGCCGAGAGTAGCCTCTAGCCAATAACCAGCTAACCATTCAGGCCCCAAGTGTGGGAACCCACAGAAAACTGAATGCTGCCAACAACCATGTGAGCTTGAAAGCAGATCCATCCAAAGTTGAGCCTCAGATGAAACTGCAACCCCAACTGACAACTGACTGCAGCTTTGTGATAACCTGAAGCAGAAGACCCAGCTCAGCTGTACCCTGACCTTCAGAAACTGTGAGATAATAAATGTCAGTTGTTTTAAGCTGCTGAGTTTGTGGTAATATTGTTACACAATAAAAGATAAATAATATAGCAATTTAACAGAATGCATTCTCAGACCAATTAATGCTATTTTTTAATGGCTGCATGATATTTCATAGAATTAGTGTAGCACATTTTACTTAACTAATCCACTGATGGTGAACACTTAAGTTACTCCAAGTTTCTGATTATTTTAATAATGACTATCCTTATACAAATATATTTGCCCATATTACTGATTTTTGTTCCTCAGAATAAATACAAGAAAATACAATTTCTTGGTCAAAAGATATGCATACTTTTGTTCTTGTGTTCTTGATCCAATCCTCTCCCACCTCCTCTAGGTCTCTTGTAGACTTGTACCCCCTCCCTCTTTGATTTCTTCTTCTTAGACTACAAATATTCCCAAGTCTCTTTCAATTCAGAAAAATTAAAATCCTTCCTTGACCCTGAATTTCTCTTTAGTTTCTGCCTTTTCTTCTTCCGTTCTCATTCAAATTCTTAAAAAACGTGTCTACATTGGCTATCTCCATGTCACTTCCCATTCATTACTTAAAATTCTATATTAGTTTGCATACTCATATTGTTCTACTAAAACTATTCTTGCAAATATCAATGGTTTCATAATTGCTGGACAGATTTCTCTTCCTACTTTATTGAACTGCTGACACATTTGACCCTTCTTAATGAAGTTCTTTCTTTTTGCTTTTCTCTTCTGCTTCTCCCATCTCTCTGATCATTTCTTCTCAGTATTGTTTATGGACCTACCTTCCTGCATCTATCCTATATCCTACCCTTCCATAAAGTTTCATCCTTAGCCCTCTTCTCTTTATTTTCTATCTGTTCTTTCAGGGAGTAGTGTTAACTAATAATGTAAACTCTTAATCTCTGGCTGTTATTATTTCTAAGTTTTAGAAGGATATATTCCATTTATTGTAGAATTTATAGAGTCTACTTGTACCACAAGTACTCCAAACCTAATCTGTCCCCCCAAAAAACCTTACTCTTGCCCTAACTGGTTCGGCTCAGTGGATAGAGCGTCGGCCTGTGGACTGAAGGGTCCCAGGTTCGATTCCGGTCAAGGGCATGTTCCTTGGTTGCGGGCACATCCCCAGTGGGGTGTGTGCAGGAGGCAGCTGATTGATATTTCTCTCTAATTGATGTATCGATGTTTCTAACTCTCTATCCCTCTCACTTCCTCTCTGTGAAAAATCAATAAAACATATTAAAACAAAACAAAACACCTTACCCTTCTTGCTACATCATCTATTATTTTGCCCTACTTGATGGTACTAGTACCTGCCTAGTCAACCAAATTAGAAATCCAACAATAATCATTAACTCTTCATTCAACCACCAAATCTTGTCAATTTTGCCTCCTAAAGCTCTATAAACCATCCTGTTCTTCTCTAGTCTCAGCCTTGTCATATCCTTTAGTATTGCCTTCCACAAATGGATCTTCCCAGATGCTTCCTGAATCATCTAATTATTCATGTTTTTAAAACTGTATCTATCTTTTAGAGATACATATTAAAATATTTACACAAAATGATGTCTAGGATTTGCTTCAAAGATTGTGTGGAAGAGGGAGAAGGTGAAAGTATAGATGAAACAAGACTGGCTGTTGATAATTATTGATGCCAGATGACAGACAGATGGAAAGGGGTTCATTATACTCTTCTACTTTTGAATCATCAAAAACAACTAATCTATTTAAATACACATTCTTTAATGTTCAACACACACACACACACACACACACACACACTCATCCCTAAAAAGATAAAGTCTATGCCCTTGATGATGAAAAACAAGACCCTTCTTGACGAATACTAGATCACATTTTGTAATTTAACAAGCCACCTATAATTTCCAGAAAATGACTGTGTCACACCTTCAAACATTTGCCTATACTGTTCTTTCATCCTGAAACACTTTTGTCTTCTCCCTAATTGCTTCATTAATTCTTACTCAATTTTGGATAGGCATAACCTCTTCAGAAAGCTTTATCTTAACCCTGCCCCCAAGAGCATGGGGCAGAGTTAAGATATCTCATTTCTATGTTCTCATAATACATTATGCATATTTATATTATAGCACTGACCTCAAAGTACTGAAATTATTTGTTTCCTAGAGCCAGATCACATCTTATCCAACTGTAGGTCCCTATGTTTACTGAGTACAAATAAATGAATTAATGGGAGCACTAGGTAGAACTAGATAAAGGAAAAGAAATAATGCAAGGTAATTGACATTTATGATAGACAATTTCATCTTTACTGTGAACTAGACATTATGATCCTTCTTTTATAGTTTTAAAAATTGTGGCTCAGAGATGTTAAAGGGTCAATCTAAATGTTTTCACATAACATCAGATTTCCAATAAATTGGTGCCTTCTCTGTTTCTAAATAAGGTACATAATACCCCTTACTCCTTAGGCATAGCCTTAACATCATTGTCTCAATATAGAGAGAACATATACAAAACAAAATGGTTTTAAAAAGATAGCTATTTAGAAAGCTGTTATCTGTGAGTACTCTAACTTAGAGATTATGCTTTAGTGATGAAAAACATGGAGAGGAAAGCCACAACCTCTCAGCTATCCCAACATCTTTCAGCTGGAGGACCTACTAAGTAGAGAGAATGTGCAGAAGAGCTTGCAGAGTGAAAACAACTTGGGTCCCAAGAGGGCTCTCCCTCAGAAGAAAGGGGAAAAAATTCACTGTGGCTCATAAGGGAAATAATATTTCCTTCCGAACCTTTCCTCTTACACATGTTAAAGTATGTGGCTTAGCAAATACTTGACACTGAAAAGGCATACACCTGAAAACCCAAATCAACACTTTCGTTCAATTTCTACCTATTTTTACCTAGAACACAAGGGTCTGTGTTGAGGTTAAATATAGCACAATCACTTGTATATGCTTATTATTAACACTCTTTAAAAGAGAGATCGTTCGGTTTGAGACTCCCCCTAAGTTACTATTCTCCTACTTACAGGCTGTGCTAGTCAATGTTTTACGCTCTAGAGCAGTGGTTCTCAACCTTGGCTGCACATTAGAATCACCTGGGAATCTTTTTAAAATCCTGATTACTGGGCCTCATGCTCCGGAAATTCTGTTTCTTTGTTACTAATGTTGTGGCCTCACCCCATAACGAAGAAACAGAATTTCCGGCTTGCACTTCCTTTTTTTTCTTGACTTATGGAAAGACTTAGTGTGTATACAAACTGAATATGTATATATTAGAGTAGGGGTGGGCAAACTTTTTGACTCGAGGGCCACAATGGGTTCTTAAACTGGACCGGAGGGCCGGAACAAAAGCATGGATGGAGTGTTTGTGTGAACTAATATAAATTCAAAGTAAACATCATTACATAAAAGGGTATGTCTTTTTTTTTTTTTAGTTTTATTCATTTCAAAAGGGCCGGATACGGCCCCGGGCCGTAGTTTGCCCACGGCTGCTCTAGAGTGATGCTTTCTTAATGCAAATAACTCACCTGCATTGGCTTTAAGGTCTTCAGGTGTGACCATGACAACAAATCGGATTGCACGTTCATTTCGAAACATCTCGTAGGACCACCGACGGATAGACCGCATGCATTTCACTGCTGCAATGCCATTGTTGGCAATAAGAACCTGAGAGAGTTACAGGATGGGAATTGGAGAGAAAAATAGGAAAAGCAAGCAATGATGGAGAGAAAGAGGTGAGACAATTTTTGTAAATCTATCTTATTTTGAAAAGGCAGATTTTCTATAGGAATTTGTATTCCTGGTCTAGGTAGTTAAGAACTAGCTCCCACATGACCAAGGGATATTTTAAAATGTTAGCTAAGGAAATACTTCAATATGTGCCTGACTCAACCTTATTCCTTTCTAGCTTCCTTCTTTTAAAAATCCTCACCCAAGGATATGCTTTTTTTTTAAATTGATTTTTAGAGAGAGAGGATGGCTAGGGAGAGAAACATCGATGTGACAGAAAAACATCAATCAGTTGCCGCCTGTATGCACCCTGACTGGGGATTGACAACCCCACAACATGGGCATGTGCCCTGACGAGGAATTGAACTGGTTACCCTTCAGTGCACAGGATGAAACTCAACCAACTGAGCCGCCTGGTCAATGCATAACTTCATTTCTCTCTCTCTTTTTTTTTAAACCCTCACCTGAGGATATTTTTTCCATTGATTTTTAGAGAGAGTGGAAGGGAGGGAGGGAGATTGGAAGAAAAGGAGGGTGGAAGGGTGACAGACAGCAAGAGAAAAGCATCAACCCAGGTATGTGCCCTTGACCGGGAATAGAACCTTGTGCCCTTCAGTACACAGGCCGACGCTCTAACCACTGACCCACACCGGCTAGGCCCATAATTTCATTTCTTGAAGGAAAAAAAAAAATCACAATTACTCAAATATTGTGAGTCTGTGAAATTTTACTAAACCAATTACTAGGGGAAAGAAACTTAAGAGAGATGGTGTATTATAAATAAGGATGGAGGAAAACCAAACAGTGAGTGTCATGCACTATTCTTTGTTGTAGTAAAATAAGGCAAAGGACCCTGAACATGTATAAGAACCTGGAACCAGCCGAAACCGGTTTGGCTCAGTGGATAGAGCGTCGGCCTGCGGACTGAAAGGTCCCAGGTTCGATTCCGGTCAAGGGCATGTACCTGGGTTGCGGGCACATCCCCAGTAGGAGATGTGCAGGAGGCAGCTGATCGATGTTTCGCTCTCATGTTTCTAACTCTCTGTCTCTCTCCCTTCCTCTCTGTAAAAAATCAATAAAATATATTTAAAAAAAAAAAAAAGAACCTGGAACCAACCACCACCTCTCTCCAAAATGCCGAACCCCAAATGCCTTAGAACTATAGAGCCTGCCTCAGAATGGTCACAAGAAAAAGAGAAGAATCAAGGATCCTGAGACTTCTCTGTAACAAACCTTTCATTACCCGTCTTGCAATCATGCCTCCAAGGATAACACAGTCTAGGAGTCATATAATCTATCTTTATTGGAAGACTAACAGAAGGACACCGCTGAAGCAATACTTTTAGGAGTGGGAATGTAGGTCCCCATCCTTTAATCATTTAATCACTATAAACTATTCCAACCAAGTCATTCTCTCAGCTCTGACATGATTTAGATAAAAGTGACACAGATTTAATATTTAAAAATACGTGTAATCTCTAAGTATTTCATGTGGTGTGTTCCCTCTAAACATCTCCAATACGTGGTGGAAGCCAATCAGTCAGTGTATCAAACTGTTTAAACTTTCTCTTCTGAAAGTCTCTACTTCCTTAGCTCCAAACCCAATGCTATGACATTATCTCCTCACCACCACCCACAAGTTAACTGATTTCTCCTAGCCTCTCAGATCAATGCAGCCCAACCCTGTAAAATCACAAGATCTTTTATTTATTTATTTGTTTTTTTAAATATATTTTATTGATCTTCCACAGAGAGGAAGGGAGAGAGACAGAGAGTCAGAAACATCGATGAGAGAGAAACATCGATCAGCCGCCTCCTGCACATCCCGGGGGGTGTGCCCGCAACCCAGGCACATGCCCCCGACCGGAATCGAACCTGGGACCCCCCAGTCCGCAGGCCGACGCTCCATCCACCGAGCCAAACCGGTCTCGGCCACAAGATCTTGTAAAAAGAACTTGATGCGCACTGCTTCAACATCTTATTAGCTGTGACTAAATTATCAGTGGTTAATACATATTAAAGAAAATTATTTAATAGGATGCTAGGGAGGTAGAAAGGATAACTTCACATGAAGAGGCACGGTCTCTGAAAGTCTAAATATCAGTTTTGAGCAAATCTAGACAACAAATCTAGGCATTAAATCTCATATACTTTGGAAAAGTACGTTAGCAGGTTACAACTTACCTTCTCAATCACTTTATTCCCCCCAAAGCGAGTAACAAATTCTGCTGGAGAAGCTACAGTGAAATCTCGCTGTGAGTCTATTTTCTTTCGGTCTCGACCTTGCTTTACTAGATGCAAGCCAGACATGCTGGGCCTATAAAAATAAAGAAGCCATGAACATCTGTCAATAGGATTTCTTCACACCATCTATCTCCCCTGGAGACCTGCTTTTCACTTCTTATAACAGTACCTCCAACTATACCCTTGTGAAGACTGCATGCTGGGGGACCACATACTTTTTAAACAGAGGAAAAAATGGTCTTTGCTTGTGGAAATCTAAGCAAAAAATAACTGTTCCTGAATAATAAAAAAAAAATATTAAGGTTTACCAACAGTGCCATCACAAAGAGATAGGCAATGGTTGGAATGAAATGAAATGGTAGAAATCGCAGACTCAACTGTTAAAACTAAAAATACAATTAGCAAGGCTGTTTCTGGATCATGATTCTGGCATACAGATGACCTTCACCTCTGTATCTCTACCCTCCATCTTTCTTATGAGCTTTACCTCCACATTTTTAATTGCCTACTAAATGTTTTACTGGTGTATCCCATATATGTTTCAAAATCAAATTCTTTACAAGGCAGCATAACATACCATATTTCATCGATTTTAAGATGTTCCTCTTTTTAAAAAAAAAAATCTCTGAAATTGATATGTATCTTACAACCAATTGTATGATTTATTTAGTCGACAGTATTTTTCTCCTCAGTGATGCCTGTAACAATTAATGGTGTTTTAGATTAGATAAAATATAGTTGTTGAAACTGCACAGACCTGGTTTTAAATTCCAGATCTGTCCGCTTAATAGCTCCAATGAGTTTTAGCAAATAATTTAACCTTGCTCAGCTTCAGTTTTCTCTTTGTAAAATATGCATAGTATTTACAGTTCCAGTTATTTACCTATTGTCCCTCAGCTCCAAGTCCACTCTTTTATGCTCTGCACTGTGGAAATAGGGCTAAGCCTCTGCAAAATTGTTCAATTCTGCCAATGGGAAGACAGAGGGGTAAAAGAGACTTCTTTTGTGTTTTCCAGCTATTACCAGCATTGCTCCATAGTAACAGAAAGTAAACTCTAGCTTCTAGCATCTTTTGACATTCCTGGGAAAGCCTTGATGTATTCTCTTAGAAGTACCAGGAGCAGGAGGTTGTGGTTCCTGATAGTCAATACTGCCTTGCCATGCTTACTCATCCTCTGGGGTACGCTGCCTGGGCCTATCAATCACCTGTCAGGCCAGGTCTTCTTCTCAGGGATCTGAGCACCAGCTACTCAAAGCTTACTTCCAGTGGTCTAAGCACCAGCCCCCAAGGGCCCTCTTCCAAGCTCCTACTTCTTCCTTTATGACCTCCCAGGTCTATGGGTGGTAACTGCTTTCTATAGGTATTAACTCTGGGTTACTTCAGTATCCCTTTTTCATTCTTTTATTCTTCTAACACCCAAGTAACCAATTCTCACTAATGAATGTCGTCTTTATTATAATACCTAATGCAGTTTCTCTTTCCTTGACTGGACATTGATAGACCCTCTGAATGGGTGTTTTGAGGATTAAATTAGATAATAGATATAAATAAGGTCCTTTATACACTGTTTAATAGACAGATATTTTCTTCTATTCCTATTTTTCCTTCCTTTCTCCTATACTCCAACCTTGACATTGTAGTAATTTAACTTTTCAAAATAAAAGAGTATGATTAAAATTGTCCAACAAAGAAAATACCAGGTCCAGATGATTTTCAAAGACAAGTTCCATCTAATTTTCAAGGGCAATAGTCTACCAAACTTCCAGACAATAGAAAAAGATGTAAAACTCTCCAGCTACAGTAATACTGATACCAAACCCAGACAAAGATGTTACATGAAGATAAAAGTCTAGGTCCATTTTATTCCTGACTACAAATGCAAAATTCCTAAACAAAATATACTAAATAGTAGGGTATTAGTGCAAGGATGGGCAAATATTAGTAAAAAAAAATATGTTCCTCCATGACCAGCTTGAGTTTGTCCCAGATATGCAAAGATGGCTTAATTTTAGAAAACCCATAAATGTAAACAACTATGTTAGATTTCCTAACAAGTACAATAAAATGAAAAAAAAATTAGAGGCATTAAAATTGCAAAGAAGGAACTGTCATTATTTGAGAATATGGTAATTTACATAGAAAACAGAATATTCTGCAATAGAATAGTTGACATTCCTGGGATGTCCATTGATGCATTCTCTTAGCAGTACCAGGAGCAGCAGGTTTTCCAGCCATTACCAGCATAGACCTTAGTCAAGTGTCTTGATATACGATTAGTACACAAGAAGTCCAAATATATTATATACAGTTGACTACATACAGATTATAAAATTAAAAATAGATCATAAAGCTAAAAACAACTAAAATACACATACTCTTCAGAGATATGTATAGATAAAATAAGACAATATAAACAGAAAGACAAAAGACATGTGATTAAGAAAATTGATTATCTGGGTAGGGGAGGTAGGGAGAAGGGTTGAGGAGAGATTATATAATTAAATGTAGGCGATGGCCAAGGACCCACCTTTCTTTTAAAAATTAAACAAAAGAATGTGGTGGGTTTCAAATCCTTCCTACATTATTAAAAACAAACAAACAGCTAACCAAATAAATAAATAATAGAGGGCCACACATGGAATAATGATATGTCATGAATCAACGATTATATAATTCTATACACCTAAAGTTAAACACACACACACTCCTCAAAGGTCAACTTTCACTTATTTAGGGAAGGAGTGAAGAAATAGAGAAGATATAAACCTAGAACTAATAAGGAGCTGCTTGAGTATAACACAAAAAGGGAAGCAAAGTCTATATTGATAAAAAAGGTGGGAAAGGAATTGGTTATAAGATTTAATCAATAGTTTAGAAATAAAATGAATCTCATAATCTTCACCTCTCATCTACTTTTTGGGGGGACACTATTAGAGAATGTTGTCTTGTAAATAAATGAGTAACCCAAGAAAAAGGAAGACAAGGAATGCAAGAAACATAGAATCCAACACAGAAGAGAAGGGCATTCCCTAGATGATTGTTCAAATTGGAAGACAGACTGTTCTGGAAGTATGCATCTTGGAAGAAATGGACAGATCACCTTTTGTATTTAACCACAGAAAAACAAAATAAAACTTGCCCGTATGTATAATATATATATATTTGGCTTTGGTTTCTTTATATATGTACATATTTGCTTATTTTACATATATAAAACAAAACAATGTTATACATATAAATGTTGTTATATATAAAATGAGTTGTTGCCCTGGCCAGGTTTGCTCAGTGGATAGAGCATGGGCCTATGAAGGGTCCCAGGTTCAATTCCAGTTAAGAGCACATGCCCAGGTTGCGGGCTCGATCCCCAGTAGCGGGTGTGCAGGAGGCAGCCGATCAATGATTCACTCTCATCATTGATGTTTCTATCTCTCCCTCCCTCTCCCTTCCTCTCTGAAATCAATAAAAAATAAAAATTAAAAAATAAAATGAGTTGTTTTTTTTATTTGACTCCCGGTAGAAATTTTCTTGGTCTTCCCCGCAAAGGGTGGAAGATGTCAAATGAAAAAGAAAAGAAAATGATGACTGTTCTAAAGACTAATTTTACCAACTCAGTTTTTTTTAATATATACTTTTATTGATTTCAGAGAGGAAGGGAGTAGGAGAGAGAGTTAGAAACATCAATGATGAGAGAGAATCACTGATTGGTTGTCTCCATGCCCCCACCCAAGCCCGCAACCCAGGCATGTGCCCTTGGCCGGAATCGAACCTGGGACCCTTCAGTCCGCAGGCTGACGCTCTATCCACTGAGCCAAGCCAGCTAGGGCCCAACTCCGTTTTTTTTTATGTTTTCTGCTTTTGCCAAAGTCCAGTTTAATTTTCATGTACTATTTTTTCCAAAATAATCCTCTCAAGATTTTGATTTGCAAAAACAAGCAAAGAAGGTAATAGAGGGACCCTTAAATACTGTTATCAAGCAAATCATTCAGGCCTTTTATGTCAACTCTGCTGAAGAGAACAGACCTGCAAGAGGCCTGAAGAAGGCTAAGAAGGCCTGACTCATTTCCTCCTCAGCCTGAGTTCTAACAGCAGAAAGAAAAAGATCCCAGGTAAGTGAGCCTGAACAATCCAGTCTGGTTGCCCACTGTCACCTGCCAGGACAACTGCAGCAGGTACCTTTCCTAGTGCCACAGGCACATTCTAAAAAAGTTTTCTTTAACACTACCTTCAACAGGGATGTGACACACTACACAGAATCGATATCTGTCTTCACATAGTTGAAGAGTCTTTTACTCTTGAAAAACCAGCCAAATCCAGTGATCAAATCTGGCACAGACTGAGATCCAAAATAACAGCACAGCAAGATCTGCACAGGAGTGCCTGTTTACAGCATAACTACAATTATCACACATGGGCTCAGGTACTTTGTTTCAATTCTGAATGTAAAATACAGGTTGAGAAATCCAGAATAAAATATGAGTTTTTATTCATTTCCTTTTTTAAAAAAACACACAGTTTCTTCGAGATATACAAAAAAATCATCAAAGCAAATTTCCCATAAATTTCAGGGCTTAACTGCAACACCTTACTGTTTTTTAAAGGTAAATAGTGCCTAAATACAGCATCCTATAACTTACCTTTGAAGCACATAATATCTCATCTCCTTATTTTCCTCTGCAGAACCTCCATATCACGACGGCAAAGGAATGGAAGCTGTCTCTTCAGATGTCGGCCTTGTAAACATAAGCCACAGCTCGTCCTCCTGTTGCAGGTGCTTAAAACCCAGGAGGACAAGAGATACTGTACCTTCTGCCTACTTCTTGGCCCTGCTTCAGTCAAACTAGAGTATTCCTGATAGCCTCAAACTACAGTCCTTTTGTCCATTTTGTCCCCAATTTCCATATTTCCCTACCTTTCCTCCTTTTTATTTCCTCCCTACATTTGGCTCACACCTAGAATTAGTTGGCTTCCCAAAAGGATTGAGAGAATAGGGGAAGAAACATAAAAGTTTGTGTAACTAGAAAATAGATCTTAGCAACTCTGCATTAGCTGCAGCAGACATGTTTCAACAACGG